TAGTAAGAGGACGCTTCGTATCTTATATTTGCATCCCCATTTAGCCTTTAGTTGTTGTTTTTGGATCGTAACTTCCCTAATTTCATGACTAAAATATTATGCATAAGATAGAAGCGTGCACACAACTACACAAGGGCCCTTCTAACCAGCACAATTTGCTAACTAAGCCTCAACTTATGCAGCTCACTTGAAGACTACATTATACTCATGCACGTCGCAACCAACTAAATTTCGAAATTTGCAGTTCTAGTCTTACATAATCTAGTCCTTTAACTCTGATTGTTTGACTCCATCTTAGAATCGGATACAACATTATCGAAAATGGAATCAATACTTAATTATAGCAGCACCAATCAACCCAACTACTTGCATTATGATCAGAGAAAAAACATTCAAGCAATTGAATCATTAACTAAAATTAACAACAATTAAAGCTTAAAAGGGTCAGAAATTTGCTTACCCTCTATGAGGATACCCATGAGAATTGCTTCAGTCCCAGTAGTTGCATACTTGAGCTTCCTGGCTTCCAATTCACCCATGGCAAATGACTTTATAGCCCTCCAAGACCATCTGCATCCACTCACCCAATACCAAAAGCTCAATCCCAACAAACCCAGAAATAAAAAACACTAAGCCCACAAAAGATATTAAAAAGACACTCACTTGGGCACTTTCTCGGTGGATGAAACTCCTTCCACATTTCTGTAATGACCAAATCAGAAGCATCTGAAACAACAGCTTGGTCATCCAAAACGTGAAAAATAAACAAAATTGAAAATTCAAGAAAAAGGGAATTGGAAAAGTGAGAAAATGTGACTCACGCAGTAGGGAGGCTGAGGCAGACTGTGGCAGAGAAAGGTCGTAGCTTTGGCTCTGGGGTTCTGACTCTGAGGCTTGAGGACTGAAGCGAGAGACTGTTGGCTCCCAGCCATGCCTTCTGCAAACCGCCGGGTCTCAAATTCCGCGTCAGAGGTGGCGAATCTAGGCCGGGTTTAGTTCTGTGATTGGGAATGAGAGCTGTGGTAGAAGTTGGAAGCTTGGAAAGAGAGTGAACAGCCATTTTTGGAAAACAAAAGTGTAGCCTGAGTGTTCTGGAATTGGATATGTATGTGGAAGGATATGGGATTGGAATTTGTAACTTGGAAGCGAGAATGAATGAGACGGCGTCGTTTTCTACGTACCTTTGTTTTTGAACTTGGGTTGGGCTTCCTTCCACCCAAATTCTTTATGGCCATTGAAATTGTTGGACTGGACCTATTTCTTGAGAGGTGTCACCCAAACATCATCCCTTTCTACACCAATTTCAACAAACAAGCAGTTTTTTTATAATAAAAAATTGCATGTTGAGAACTTAAATATGCACACCTTGTTAGAACACGAAGCGAGTGTGGCTTGCAAACCACATGCTATATACATTTTTTTTACATGTTCTATTTCACATGATTAAGAATGATGAACTTGTGAATTATCAAATTGTGTGAATAATAGGAGGTACCAAGTTAAATAATTATAATTCTAAATTCTAAACATATAATCTAATAACATAATACATTATAACCAGTGTGGCTTGCAAACCACATGCTATATACATTTTTTTTACATGTTCTATTTCACATGATTAAGAATGATGAACTTGTGAATAATAGGAGGTGCCAAGTTAAATAATTATAATTCTAAATTCTAAACATATAATCTAATGACATAATACATTATAAATTATAAACAAAATACAAGCTAAAAGTAAAATGGAAGTTGTTTTTAATAGGGAGTGTAGAGAGCATTTCGCAAATACTTTCGTTTTTGGTTTATAGTTTTTTTATTATATATGAATTTGGGTCATGGAAGTAGCCATCTCTGTCCAATGCTATGAAACTTTGGTTGTGTTCCTAGGATTAGATTAAGATAAGTTAATTCCTTATATTTAAAGCATTTTAAATAAAATGAATTCTTTTTATCAAATTGAAGGTAGAAGAAGGGCTACTCAAAAAGAATACTTATCCCATATAATTCCCACAAAATGATAGAATATCAACACATTTCGTTTTTGGTTTATAGTTTTTTTATTATATATGAATTTGGGTCATGGAAGTAGCCATCTCTGTCCAATGCTATGAAACTCTGGTTGTGTTCCTAGGATTAGATTAAGATAAGTTAATTCCCTATAATTAAAGCATGTTAAAAAAAATATGAATTTTTTTTTATCAAATTGAAGGTAGAAGAAGGGCTACTCAGAGAGAAAACTTATCCCATATAATCCCCACAAAATGATAGAATATCAGCACCTTATAACTTATCCCTCCTAAAATATTCGTGTTTATTTGTTGTTGCATAAGCACACATTTCTTAACTGAATAATTCATCATCTGCTAAAGGTGTTCAGATAAAAATCAATAGTTCAGAAAAACAAAATACTGATTGAAAAACATAAAAAATTCCATAAAAATGCAAATCTGACCCAAATTCAAGACTTTTTTTTTTGTTTTTGGGAAAGGCAACACTAGTGCTCTTAATTTGTTGGCATTAGCAATAAATTAACAAATGGGCCTGCAGGGAAAAGAAAAACCGAATGGGCCAGTGAAGATAAAGTTACATGCGGTCCAACTTTAATTAGGGTAATTCCAATAAAAAAGCAAGCTACCAGAAGAAGAAAGGGTCAAAATAGAAATTAGACAGAATTTTGGAGATAAAAAGAAATTTCTACAATAAAATTGTTCCTGGATAAGCTTTTGCAATTCATAAACCCAGAGATGAGCTTTAATCAAGCTAAGGCGAGCAGTAACAGAGCATATAAATAGAGAAGAGAAGAGAGGTCCCTAGGGTTTCAGCCGACGCATTTCTCTTACCTCACTATCATGTACGGAGATGAATGTTCTCCAAGCTAGAAAGGGCTCTACGAGTCTTTTCTTCTTCACTCTTCTTTTCTAACGCAGCACAACGAACGACGTCGCTTCGTCAGCTCCATTTCTTCGGCTCCGCTCAGCAGGACCAGAAATTGTAAGTTGCTCAAGTTTTTGTCTTCTTTTTCTGGGATTTGCTTTAGAGCTTTTCTGTTTCTTAGAAAAATGGTGGGTTTGGATTTAGTGTTAGTTTTTTTCTGATGGGTTTGGATTTTTCATTTACAGAGTTGAGATTGGGTTTGATATGAAAAATGTGACATTTCATTTAGGGTTCTTGTTGCTTCTTATTATTGGACTTTTTAGTTTTAGTTTTATCCTTTATGTAGATGAATGTTACTCAAGAAGATATCACAAAAGGGATGCAGGAATTGAATTTTAAAGCGATGGCACTCTCTTTTCCTCAAGAAATCATACATGAGATCCTACTTAGGCTACCCGTTAAATCTTTGATCAAGTGCACCTCAGTGTGCAAGGCATGGAGGTCCATGATCATGAACAAAAGCTTTATCCGCGCCCACATCAGCCAAATTAATAACATGAATGACAGTCACCTCTTCCTAGTCCACAGGGTTTCTGGTAGGGAGAGCTCCACTAGCAGCCACAGAGCCAACGTAAGCGAAGTAACAGAAGAGGTTTATTCTCTGCATTATGATAACCAGGCTTTTGATGAGTACGCCAAGATAGAATTTCCAATTGCTCCAAAGCAAGAAGTGCTCAATGAACATCTTCGTGTGGTTGGCACTTGTGACGGGCTAATCTGCCTTGCGGATGATATGCCCTGTTATTGTTACAACTTCTTTATATGGAATCCAGCCATTAGAAAGTTAGTCACCCTTCCCAGGCCTGGTATTACCTTTAGGACACATGGTGGGTACGATGCTTCTATTGGGTTCGGTTTTGATGCTAATACCAATGACTATAAGATTGTGCGAGTTGTAACTTTACAGCATGAAGGTGTGGGGCCAACTCTTGCTGAGGTTTATTCACTAGCTACTGGCTCATGGACCAGTGTTGGTTCTGTTACTCCTTCATGTCAATTAATTCGGGCATCCCAAGCTTTTGTTAATGGGGCTCTTCACTGGCCTGCACGCCGTTGGACAGATTATGGCTCAAACTATTTTATCTTGACATTTGAGGTGGGCAGTAAGTTATTTCACGAGATACAGGTGCCAAAGAGTTTAATAAAATATAATTACCACCTGGGATTATGGTTGTCTATTTCAGGAGATGGAAAATCCATTGCTCTGTTCTCGATGGATAACAGATGTGAAGACTCTTTTCTTGAAATATGGGTGATGAAAGAGTATGGCATGGAGGAGTCATGGACCAAATTGGTTACTCTTGGTCCACAAGGGCCAGAAAGACTTCTACCCAGGGCGTCATGTTTTAGGAAGAACGGTGAAGTGTTATTGATACTTTCTGGAGCTAGGGAAGCATTTTCTATGGGTTCAATACTTAGTAATCAATATACTTTTTATGGGCACCGCACAAAATCAAATCACGAGTTAGTATCGCTAGACCATGTGAGCAAAACCATTAAAAATCTTGGGATTTCTGGAGAAGGATATCAATATTGCAACGTCGATTCCTACAAAGAGAGCCTTGTCTTATCTGACCAGACAGGTGCAGTTTCGTACTAAGAGAAAGAACAGGTAATGTGATTATAATGCTGAGAGCAGAGCATTGCTTGTGAATAACAATTTTAATTCCTTGCTTGCCAGATATTTATATTCACTAAGAGCCTTATGGATGATTAAATTGATGTGGGTTCTTTTTATGTTCATTAACTGATCTTTCGTCTAAACTCAATCCAGAAAACAAGAAGTTCAAAACAAATACTGATAAATATGGTTAGACTGGTCTTTTTGCAAGTGCTTGTAGTTTTGTAACTTTTGTGACTTGTACAATATCAACTTGGTTTGACTTTAAGAAGTGGACTGTGGAACTGTTGCCGTTTCCATAGTGAACTTTATGCATTCATATTACATGGTCTTACTTACTGCTGCAAATTGAATTGTTCAACAGATTGTGCATTGAATTCCTTTTCCAATGGTTTTCACGCACACAGTAGTTAATTTTCCAATTAGTCTTCATTTATGTAAAGCATGAATTGGAAGTTATATTCGCATTCCTAACCGTGGTCTTTATTCGTTTTTGTTTGTGACAGATTTGTAGTGCCGCAACTTCGTTTTCCTTAAGTGCCTGAAATGATGGTGCATTTTGTTCACATGGAACTTCTTATCTCAAGTTCTGATACATTTTCCCGAGTAGTTTTTACTTTTTATAAATGTAGTTTTTGAAAAAATTGGATCGACCTATGGAATTATGCACCTGTTAAATATCTGAATTGGTTATGCAGTTCTAAACTATGTACCTCTTTCTATGGAATCATCATCTATCAAATGATTTTGCAATTTTGTTGTTTTTTTAGAAGTAAATTTCCTTGGCTCAACAATCAGCAGTATTTGCATTTGATATATTTTGCTTCACATTCGAAATGTGTAGGTATATTAACCCTTGGTTGTTGATCAATAGTTTCCATGGAACCTGTGACTTTTGGAGTTGGGTATGTTGATTGCACAATCCTGTTTGTTGAGGTAAGTGAGAGGAGCGGGAATGGGATTGAGACCAAAAAACAATAACAACAAAGAGCATCGACATTTCCATATGTCAGTCCTCCAACACATTGCAAGAGTTGTATAATCTGTCCTCAGGAAATAAATTAAAATTTGTTTTAAGTTATTAGCAAATAAATTGTTGTTTTATTTATCTGATTAAAGCAGCCACCTTTCCAACAAAAGTTTTGTAGCCACCTTTCAAAAAGTACATTTCTTTAAAACATAATTTAAGCTGTATTTTATGTTAATGTCGGATACATGAGGTGTTTTTCTTCACCGAATTTTCCTCTTTTGGGGTTATTTATGATGAGATTTTGAACCCAGCCACTAAGGTGGTCTTCAAGTTCCATTGTATTATGGCTGTTTTTTTAGCTTTGTTTTCAGTTAATGATCCCAAAAAACAAAAATGTTTGTTGGAATTAGAGAGAAATTGTAATGAACTAACGAATGGGCCTTCTGGGGGTAAAAAACCGAATGGGCTTTGTGGAGATGAAGTCGCATTACAAAAACTAAGCGGTCCAAGAAAAGAGAAAAGAAAAAAGGCGGGGTCAAAATAGAAATTGGACAGAATTATGGCTAAAAATGAAAATTTCTACAATAAAAAATAGTTCCCGCGAAAGCTTATGCAATTCATAAACCCTTAATAAACCCAAAGACGAACCATAGATAAACTTTAATCAAGCTTTTAATTTGGTACGGAGCTTTTTAGACGTAGGCAGGCAATCTCAGCATATAAATAGAGAAAGAGAGGTCTCCACAATGATCCATTAGGGTTTGAGCGGACTACCATGTACGGAAAAGAATGTCCTAGAAGAAGCTAGAAAGTTCTTTTCTCTTTTCACTGTTCTTCTCAAGCACAGCACAGCACAAGAACCAGACGCTTCCTCAACTTCGGCTCTGCTCTGCTCATCAGGATCAGAAACTGTAACTTCCTGAACTTTTTCTCTTCGTTTTTCTGGGATTTTTTAGAGCTTTTCTGTTTCTTATAAGAATGGTGGGTTTGGATTTAGTGTTAGGTTTTTTTTTTTCTGATGGGTTTGGATTTTTAATTTGTAGAGTGGATATTGGGTTTGATCTGAAAAATATGACAGTTTAGGGTTTTTGTTGCTCCTTATTACTGGATCTTTTAAGTTTTTAGTTTTATCTTTTATGTATATGAATGTGACTCTGCTTTCAGAACAGCCCCTTTATTTTTATTTTTATTTTAAATTCTCAAATATAGGTTTTTTTTTTATGTTTTCAGTTGGTATAACTGTTTGAGCGTGCAAGACATGGATAACATACAAGAGATCACACAAGGGATGCACGAATTGAAATTTGGAGAGATGGCAGGCACTTTTCCTCAGGAAATCATACAAGAGATCCTAATTAGGTTGCCCGTTAAATCTATGGTCAAATGCACCTCAGTGTGCAAAGCATGGAAGTCCATGATCATAAACCCAAGCTTTATCCGCACCCACCTCAGCCTAACAGTCGATGACGTTCACCTCCTACTCCATAGAGTTTCTGGTTTGGAGGAGACCACCTTCCTCGGCAAAACGGTCATGGACAAGGTAGACGACGAGGTTCACTCTGTGCATTATGATAACCAGGCTTTCGATGAGTACGCCAAGATAGAATTTACAATTCCTCGAAAGCAAGAACTGTGGAACTCACATCTTCGTGTGGTCGGCATTTGTGACGGGCTATTCTGCCTTGCGGATGATATCTACCGTTATGGTTACAACTTCTTTATATGGAACCCAGCCATTAGAAAGTTACTGACCCTTCCCAAGCCTGATGTTAGATTTGTTACACATCGTGGGTACGATGCCTCAATTGGATTTGGTTTTGATGCTATGACCAATGACTATAAGGTTGTGAGAGTTGTCACTTTATTGGATCAACGTGGGACACCAACTCTTGCTGAGGTTTATTCCCTGGCCACCGGCACATGGAGCAGTCTTGGTTGTGTTTCTCCTACATGTCTAACAGATGGACGTGCATCCAGTGCTTTTGTTAATGGGGTTCTTCATTGGCCTGTATTCTGCAAAACAAATGGTGGTCTTTACTATTTTATATTGACGTTTGACCTGGGCAAGGAGGTTTTCCGTAAGATACCTATGCCGAAGATTATCCAATGGAAATACGACTTGGGTTTGCGATTGTCTGTTTCAGATAACAGAAAATCTATTGCTCTGTTCACGATGGATAACAGGTGTGAAGATTCTTTTCTTGAGATATGGGTGATGAAAGAGTATGGCGTAAAGGAGACATGGACCAAACTGATTACCCTTGGTCCACAAGGTCCAGAAAGACTTTTACCCAGGGCCTTATATTTTAGGAAGAGTGGTGAAGTACTGGTGCTTCTCACTGACAAATCAAGGCAGGAACTAGTATCACTAGACCTTGTGAGCAAACAGTTTAAAAATCTTGGGATTTCTGGATATCAATATTGCAATGTTGGTTTTTATAAAGAGAGCCTCCTCTTACTCAACAAGAGCAATGCAGAGTCTTACTAAGAGAAAGAACAGGTAATGTGATTATAGTTCTGTGAGAACAGAACGATGCTTTTCAAGAACATTGTAATTCTTTGTTTGCCAGATTTTTATTTTCATTAAAAGCCAAATTGGTGACTAAATTGCTGTTGCAGCTACTGTTGTGTAGTTTGCGTATTCATTTAAATGGTTTCATTTGCTGCTGTAATAGGATTGTGCAATTCATTCATTAATCCCATGTCCAATGTTTTCTCATTTGTAAAATAGGTCCTTTTACAATTTAGCTTTCATTCATGCAAGCATGAAGAGGAAGTTTCGTGCTTAAGCATTGATTAAACTAGTACTTTTCTTGTATTCTTTTGTTGCAGATCTGATGCGCAATAACGCCCTTTACCCGATGTGCCTGATACCTGATGCTCAGTAACGTCGTTCTCTTGTTCTCTCATGAGCTAACATAATTTTCGTTTTCTTGTTTATTGTGTTGCAGATTTGTAGGGCAGTAGTGTTGTATGCCTGAAGTGCCTGATGTTGTGGTGTAATTACTTAGCATGAACTTGTTATCTGTAGTGCTGATATGCTTTCTGTAGTAGTTGTTGGACTATTTATTCTTCAGCTTTTGAAAAACTGTAATGGAACTATGGAAGTATCTAGTTACTAATTTCTATTGGCTTTGCACCAGTTTAAATGCTTCTGCAATTGTACCCGCTTTTAAGCAACTGCAAATCTTGTTTGAATCAATCCATTTTGATAAATTTTATTCACATAAGTTAACATTCATTAAAAGATTACTTACATGATAGGCTTAACAATCTTATTACATTCCCACCATGACGGAGCCACTCTTATGCCTTATGACAAGAGTGGCATCCTCAATCTAGCATCGACATGAACACGATCATGGATTGGCGATGGATCCCTCTCAAGAAAAATCTAGCAGCTCACGAGGTTGCAAGAATTGGATCTCAGACAGTGGGTGAAATTCAATGGACAACCTGTCCACCACCTTCTATTGTTCGAGTCTTAACTTCTGATGGACAGTACAAGCCAAATAAACAGCACAAGTTTGAAGCGCCGCACCCTCTCTCTCAAACCCTCAGTCTTTCAACGCAGCAAGGGGGGAGGTGGTCACTACCCCTCCTTCCCTCCCCCTTGATACCCCTTTCAATTTCCAATCTCCATCTTCCATCTTCCATCTTCCTCTTTATTCCATCTTTGTTATCTTCCTTTCTTTGTATTTTTAATTTCCCAACTCCCTTTAAATTCCTCCCTCCTTATATGGCTTCTTCAAAGACTCTATCTCCCTCTTGGATCTATCGCCCACCATAGGTTGCAACGACTAATCCCAAACACGATTTTTCGTGTCCCCTTCGGAAGATATGTAGAGCTCTTGCTTGGGTGTTTGAACCACCTCCTTCCATTCTTGGGTTGTTACCATTAAGGTTTAAAATATCGATGGTATCACAAATATCAATAGTCCAAAAACACGAAAATTTTGATGGAAATATCGGGATATTATTGATATCGATAAAAGAAAATTTTGGAAATTTTTATTGAAACTTTGGATGATGTTTATTCAGTCAATTATCTATTAATTTATCACAAAAAAAATTGGAAGGAAGTGCATTGCATGATGGGTTTAACTAGGGGTGGGCACGGTTCGGGTTAGATCGATTTTTGCCTCAAATTAGAACCGATCCAATACTATTCATTCAGTTTGGATCAATTCAGTTTTAATATAAAAAAATTAAAAACTGTTCGATTCGGGTTGAATCTGTTTCGGTCCAGTTCCAGTTCGGTTCAGGTTGAATTGGACTATAAAAATTATTTTTTAATACAATTTTCAACTGAAATTTTATTTTATTTGACTTGAAAATTAACAAATTATTCAATTTTATATAAAAATAAATATTAAAGTTAGAAAAGAAAGATATTTTGAAATTGAACTTGAATAAATATTAGTTATTAGATTAAAAATATAGCATTCAATATAAATAAATATTGAAATTATATATTTTTTAATTTGACCGGTTCGGTTCGGCCCAATTTGGTTTTTGAAGACATGAAACAGGATCCAAAATCGGTCCAAATCGGTCCGATTCGGCTTTTGACCAGTTGTTGACTTTTTGGTCAACTCAATTTTTTTCCGATTTGGTTCAGTGCTGTTCGGCTCTGATTTTCGGTTCGCCGGTTTGAGTGTCCACCCCTAGGTTTAACTGATTTAAGTTGATTATATAGCGAGCTGACAAACATTGTGAGTGTGGAAAATATGTAGTAATTAATGAAAGAAAATTAAACACACCATAATCATTTATATATAATGATTTACTACAATATTTTACACTTTATACATTACATGGTAAGATACATAAGTGACTTAGTACCACACAGAGTTCTTATGAAGTTCAAAATTTTCACAATCTTCATAATCTCTATGTGTAGAGTAAGTGTATTGTGAAAACGAGTCATCAAATGATAAATCCCCAAAATAGTTTTGCATGTAATTGTTCAAAACAAAATAATATAAATATACATATTTTAGCATATTATCACAAAAACATAAGCAACATGGTGGTTAAGGCGTTGGAGGACGGAAATGATAAGGGTTTGAATCCCTTTTGTGTGTGTGCTTTGTGGTTTTTTTTTTCCTTTTTCCATTACATCGATATTTTCAATATTATAGCGATATTTTGATAAAATATTGCTGAAGTGTGAGTGAAATTATCGACATCGATATTTTCCGATATTATTGATATTTATACGATATGTGTATGGATATGTTCTGAAATATCCATGACCTGAAAAAACGATAATATCCTCGATATTTCGTGGATATTATCGATATTTTAGACTATGGTCACCACCTCCTTCCTTGCTTAGGATGTTGGTTTCTTTGGCTTCGGGAAGTGTTTTCCCAGGTTTTTTTCTTGGATTGGATGTTGTTTCTTATTGGTGCTTTGGTGGTTCCGTTTTGTAGGAGTTATTGAGTCTTTGATAGTCAGTTTATGTATTGCGAGATATTTTTATATTTGTAGGTTTTGTATTTGTATTGTGTGTTTTGGTGTGTTTGCAATTCTTTCACTCATTAGTAGTCCCGGTGGCGATGTCTCGGTCTTCATGGAAGCGGTGGTAGTGTTACTTTGGTGTTTGGTGGTGTTTCTGTATTTTATTGGCTTTAGCTTTATGCCAGTTTTGTACTTTGACTTTATATCAATTTTGGGCTTTGGCTTTATGCCAATTGTAGACTTTATGCATGTATGAGTTTTTTTCTAGTGGGCTTGGGCTTTTATAGTTGCATTTATTTGGACTCATTTTTATGAGTTCCACTATCGTGTAATTGGCATTGCCTTTCTATCCATCAAACTTGATTCCGACCACAACCAAAAAAATAAATAAATAAAATAAAATCTGATGGACTTCCTGGTCCCCCAATATAACTTCCTTTATTTCCTATGTTGGGAAGGAAAGGAAACTTCTGTTTGCACTCAGCGTCCCATGTTGGGAAGGAAACTTCTGTTTGCACTCCGCTGATTCTGGCTTTGGTGTGTTTCCTTTTCAACTCTTGTTTATATATTTTTTGGCTGTTTTTTGGTCTGCCCTTGGGCTTAACGAAGCATCCTTTCGACCCAAAAAAAACAAAAACAAAAACAAATTGCATCGACATTTCCATATGTCAGTCCTCCAATACTCTATCATGGCTGCTTGTGCAATGTGTATAAGGCAAGAGTTGTATAATGATCTGTCCGCAGGAAATAAACTAAAATTTGTTTAAAGTTTTTATTTGTTATAAGAAGATTGTTTTAAGTTATTAGCAAATAAATTGTGGTTTTATTTATCTGATTAAAGCACCCACCTTTCCAACACAAGTTTTGAAGCCTAAACTCAAAAAATATATTTCTTTAAAACAAAATTTAAGCTGTATATTTTATATTAATGTTGGATACATGAGGTGTTTTTCTTCACCGAATTTTCCTTTTTTGGGGGTTTTTTATGAAAAGATTTTGAACAGAGCCACTGAGATGGTCTTTAAGTTCCATTGTATTATGGCTGTTTTTTCAGCTTTGTTTTCAGTGAATGAAGTTATTTGATTTTATCCCAAAACACAAAAAAGTTTGTTTTCAGTTAATAGAGAAATTGGGCCTTCGGGGGAAGTGAAAAAATCAAATGCTCTTGAAAGAATTAGACAAAATTCTGGCGAAAAATGAAATTTTCTACAATAAAAGAAAGGTTCCCGCGAAAGCTTATGAAATTTATAAACCCTTAATAAACTCATAGATAAACTGTAAAAACTGAAAATGAAAAAGGCAAATGTGATCAAAAGGGGCCCCAAACAATGCAATTCAAAACTTTTAAAACAATTTGATTGCCAGTGTGTATCATCAATGAATAGATCTTAAATAGCCTTCACTCATCTGTGGCTGGACTCATTTACTGAACCTATGCTTGATAAGCACATCACTTGTGAAATGTGATCAATGAGAGGTGACTGAATGGGACTTTGAGCATATGCATTCACATGTTTATATCATTATAAATAAATGATGTGCCCTCATCATCAACCTTGAAAAATAAATGTTCCAACTTCCAACCCAACGCATTTACAAAACTCACTGTTCACATTGTCCCTATCTCTTCAAAGGGTTCTTAGATCCAATCCAGAAACATGTTGTTCAATTTGCCAATGAGAAAAGGAAAGAAAGCAAAAGGACAATATTATGTTTCTGATCGTATATATCACTGAAAAGTGAAAAGGGGTAGCAGCTATTTTTTTAAGCTATATGAGCATGGGGTTTCAGATCAGAAGGGTATGTATGCCTAGGATTGGCCACCAATCATGGAAGCACTGTGTCATGAAAAGGCAGGGCCAACTCATTTGCAATGTCATGTGGTGCCATGTGAATAGGCAACCAGTGATGAGAGGGTATTCTTGGAAGAGATTTTAGGTTCGACTCACATGGTTGTGACGAGTTCGATAGCTAGTTGCGAGTTTATTGACTCGTTAATTATGTGAGTTTATTGACCCATTATAACAGTATCTTGTAAATGTATCCCTATCGCTTATCCCCAAAAAGAAAAAAAGGGCGGGGTGATTTGACCCCTTTTGACAAGGACACCAAAATCCCATGTGAAATTTTCCACAAGAAGGGTGACTCACCAATTGTGAATGGCATATATCACAAGTTCACAACAAAGTCTTCAAGAACGTGGCACCCACAAAATTAATTTAGCAGCCATTTTGCTGTAGACAAAGGGTCTGGTTTCCGTCTGATTTGGTGCAGTAAATTAAGGAGAAGGGAAATTAGACTAGCAGACTTGGCACAAAGAATGTGATATATGCTGAATAGTCAAATTAGAATGTGGAATTTCGATCTTCTTCAAACAAAGAGACAAAACATTGCAAGTGGGGGCATGTAAATCTCTCAAGGGGCAGCACCAACCATTGTGTCTGTGTGGGAACCTTTACATGATTTGGCAGTCGGCAAGTAGGGTAACCTTGAGAAATTTGTGTTCTAGAGGTTGCTCAAGGGGAAAAAAGATCAAGGGTTGCTCTGTTTGATGATTTGTTTTTGCCATCACTTCGTTTAATGATTGAGCTACTTTAATTTTTCTTAATTTTTTTGCAATGGGAGGTGAATTGGAGCGGAAGGCAGCCCTCGTGAGACAATGCTGTTT